CATACAAAACATTTACAAAAATACTTGCTTTATAACGTTATAAATATTATTTGACCGTAATAAAATAAAACAAGGTAGTCTTGGGCATGAAAGTAAAAATAAATATTTTCGATTATTTTTGCAATATCTAATAGCCGGATCAGCGGGCGATTCTGATCCATTTAAAGATGCTAAATTTCAGCAAGCACTGTCAAATTCAATAGGAGTGACAGAAAAACGGTTCTTGATATAGAAAGGTAAATAAATTATTTAACCTAAAAAGTAAAATCACTTTATTACAAATCAAAATAGCCCAATAGCTTTATTAACATGCGACATAATTGTACGAGTGCTTACAATACTTAACATTATTTTACTGAAATCTCAGAAAGTTTTTTTTAAATAGAATAAGGGTGACAAACGAGCACACAGTCCACCTGATGGTAAGTGGTTGCTACGGCCCATACACATCTACATCTATCCTCGATTACGTATCAAAATGTAGATGCGTTGTCACCCGTGAGGACTAAGATGTAATGCCTCGTTTCCAGTAAAAAGGTCCTCCGGTTCTCTACACTCACTATACGAAACACAGCAGGGTTAAACTGCTATTTTAAATGTTATTCCGTGAGAGCGTGGCCCTTCCCCGGTCGAGTCGACCCATTCGTGCTACAACTATACCTAATAAATATAGCTGTAGCATGGCTCTAACACGTAAAAAAAAATTGACGTTGAAAATTTATGTATTTTTAGAAGCAACTTTGCAATTATTTTCTATTGAGTTAATTTTTGTGGAATCGTGTTTTGCAAACCGCCACCTGAAATACGTACAATTTTTTTTCGATAATGACGTGAAATTACAAAACCATCCCCATGCATTTCAATGTGGCTCTATTCAGCCTCTTAATATGAACATACCTCGGATTTCAGATATAATGGAAGATATAATATTATATTATTACTGTTCCGTGTGAGGCAACCTTTATACTTATATACATATTATTCTCATCATATTTTTATGGTTGGTTAGAAAAATTATATCTAAATGCAAACTTTCACAGGGTAAATTTTTTTTTTAGTATTTTTACCCAGCAAGTAGTAAAGCAACTACAATCCCATCGGTAAGTGGTTATGTAGTCTAAGATGGTGAATTGCACTGACTTAACAAAAACCTATTCACTTTTGCCTAATAGTACTAGGTAAGTATTATTTGCGACCTATTTGTGTGTGTGTGTGTGTGTGCGCGTGCGTGCTTGCGCGTGTGTGTGTGTGTGTGTGTGTGTGTGTGTGTATGTGTGAAGAAAAACGTATGAGAATACGTGAAGAGGAATAAAGGTTGAGTACTAATTCGCTTACCTGTACGAGGTTGCCACTCGAGGACCTTTCTTCCAATTTTTTATATGTTTTCCAAGTTATATAGCTAACCCATTACCATTTCACTGTAATATTCCGTTGAGCTATGTCAGTTACTCTGGTTCTAATGCAAATTCCTTCATTTCTAACTTTATCACGTAGAGAAACCCCTCTCCAATTTAAAATTTTTACATTTATTAGATGATAGTTTGTCTAACAAAAAGAAACCATAAACCCAAGAATGTCTTTATATAGTTATTTATACTTAGGTAAGCACCATTCTTTTATTTATTTAAATTCTTTGATTTAATTTGATAACAGTGTACCTAAATGTAAGTATCTGTATCTTTATTTCTCTCCCCAATAATATTTTATAAAGTCATACTTATAAAAACAGCGTTTTATTGTAATACATAATTATAAAATTCATTATCAACTAATTAATAAAAATATGCAACAATAAAATTACATAGGTATTAAAAACTATCGCAATCTAAGTAACGAGAGCATGTTCGCCGTTCCACATCTAAATTATATAAAAATGTATTTTTCAATTTCACTAATCAACGTCGCCGCAAAAATTTCTTCTTCTTTGGGCACTTTAAAAATTAATTTATTTAGAAAATAATATTTACAGTTACCAGTGTACAGATATTAACTAAATTAAGTATTTCTAGTCATAAAAATATTTATAATTGAGTATAAACTTTTAAAAAACTAATATATATTTGAACGAAGTCGCTCCAACACCGACGTGCGGTCCACCCTCGACGATGTCCGAAAACGGACTGTGACAGAGCTTACATGGCGACGGAGCATGCGCGCTCGCGTAAATATATTCAATTTCAGGGAAAAATGATATATTCTCTTATAAAACGGGTAATAAAAATAAAACTCTCAATTAAAAATATTAATATTTTTAAGACCTTTTTTTTAGTGTAAGAACTATTTAAAAAGCTTGTGCCGTTTTGGAGAAATTTTGCAAAATATGACAAAGATAGGTACTCTTTGGGGATTTTTTTTCTAATAAGGGGTTGACAAAAATACAATTTTGTTAAATTAAAAACATTTACCAAATCTTCTTCTGTTACCCTGTATTTTTTCTTTGTGGATTAAATGAACAGTTATTGAGATTTTTTTACTTAAATATCCTAGATTTAGGCATTTCAACCACTGTTAAGGCCTTAATAAGATTAAAAATAAATAAACCAAATCACAGATATTCTAAAAGCAGAAAATTGAAAAAAAAGTTAAAAATGTGCAAATAATAAAAGAGCAAACCACTGAGGCATTGTTTCGTGTATTAATATACATATACATACATAAACACTCACGCCTGTCACCCAGAGGGGTAGGCAGAGATTATGGACTTCCATTTGGCACGATCCTGACACACCTCTCTCGCTTCCTCCACATCCATATACCTACGCATACACGCTCGTCGGTTAAAGGTACTCTTGATATGGCCCATTTTTAATATATCGCCAATTTGGTCGAAAAACTTTCGCCTAGGGCGACCCTTCCCGACTATGCCTTGATTTGTCACTCTTTCCTCATTCATTCTTTCTACATGGCCAAACCACCGAAGCATTCCTTTCTTAATCCTGGTCACAACATCATCTTGCAAACCACACTCTTCTCTTATTAAACAATTTCTCACTCTGTCATTCAGCTTCATCCCTAACATACTCCTTAATGACCGCATTTCTACAGCATTTATTCTACTCTCATGCTTCTTCTGCCACACCCAACTTTCACTACCATACATTAAAGTAGGTACTAACACAGCATTGTGAATTGCCATACGTGCCTTTTTGGACACATTCTGACTTTTCACAATAGAGTGTAGAGCCCCATTCACTCTATTTCCTGCATTCACTCGTCGTTCTATATCCTTATCATATCTACCATCCCTGCTAAAGACACATCCCAAATATACAAACTCATCTACTTGCTCTACCAATATTAATATAATACTCTAGAAACTGATAAACTTTTATTTAAACCAATTCCTCGATTACATTTTGTTATAAAAAACTTTACCTTATTGTCAACTAGCGACATCTGGTGAGCAGAAAATTATTAACCCTCGTTGCATAAAAATCCGCTACTGGACATAAGTCACTTTCCTTATAAGGAGGTTTGCCACGCTGGACAGGCAGATTGAACTCTCATTGAGTCTCCAACTTTTCGTATCAATCCAATTTACGATCGAAATGACGTTCATAGTTACGTAATATACATAATTTACTTTACAATTGCAATGATTTAATAATTTTATCAACCATCCTGCTATCTTATCCGTCGTAAATGCTTATTCTGGCAATGATATAGAATTATCTATTTGAAATATATTACAACTAATATTATAATTATATAATACATATTTTTCAATTGACAGACAGATGTTTTATGCTAATGCATTATAAAATAGTATATATACGTCTCTGTTGCAGACTGACATGAGCAATTCAAAACAATCTGGACAAGTGAAATAAATATTAACAAACACTTGAAAGCATTTCTAAATGAAACCGTAGTATTTTTTATAATAATAATAATTAGTAAGTTTTTTTAGTCGCTACGCAAGCGGGGTTTTATACCACTATTCTATTAACTCGCTCGTACATAGTATGTGCGTGAATGTTATAGATTTTTTTCGTCTCTTCCGAACGTCAAATAAGCTGTATTTTGCAGAAGTTAGGAACCGATGATAATTAGTTTCATGTCTGATCTAGTATTCCCACTTGAAGATCAATATGTGTTGTTTTAGTGTTTTTAAGCACTAATAAGTTTAATTTAATCTATTATTTATGAAAATTAGCCGTGGTAGCTAAAAGCCTAAGCCCCTGCCGTAAATTTAAAGTGCGCGAGCAACTCGGGTTCGGGCTCGGGAAATTATTTGATAATTGCAATTTTAAGTGTTGATTTACCACATGCTCGGCGGTGAAAGAAAATTTTGTGAGGGAACCTGCATGCTTGGGGAATAAAAGTGAACACTGGGTCAGTTCGGGATACAAATTTCTCTATGATATGTGAGGCCTGTGTCCAGCAGTGAAAGTCTGAAACTATCATGAAAAACAGATACACAAGTTAAATATATTTTTGGTTCCATATTTTTCATATTCATCATCAACTGAGAGTCACTAAGGAGTCCCTTGTAGTTGTGAACCTCTCTCACAGGTGGAAGGATTTGAGAATATGTTTGAGAAATAAAAATATTTCGAGGTTTCAAGTTCACAATTCACACTGGATCAGAGTGACGGAATATTCTCTGCCCGAAATTAAATGTTTCGCACGGGACGGGTACGGTTCCGTCTTTTGGGAATTTCTCGTCGGTACTGCAGCAGCGGCGCGGCGTGGTCGACTCAAGAAATTAACCCTTTACCGCATACTGTGCCAAATTTGGAACGCTTTAATTTTTTCCTTGTAAAATGTTATCAACGCCATCTATCTATTCCGTTCTGCATCAACAAACAAAAGTAAGGTGTGCTTTAACTAAGCTACTATAAACAACCTCCATTCTAGTCTTTTGAAACGTTATTATCTCTGGACAAAACAGTTGAGGCCGCCATTTTGTAGGAGCCCGACGTTTCTCAGCTTCATACAGCGATAAGTGTTGTTGTTCTTGCAATAAAATTAAAAAACTGTGTGAATGTTGCAGAAAAATGGATCCTCAGCGCTTTTATGGTAAAAAACGTAAGTATATTTTATAGTATCTTGTTTAATTAATCGGTCAAAGTTTGTTCCAAATTCGGAACAAAATGCAGCCAGGCGCTTTTTAACTGGCCAAATTTGGAACTTCATGCAATGTGTTCGTTAAACCCCCTTGGTCATATTTGGAACATTATGCAGTGTAATTACACTCGTCCTAGTTTTGATTATTTATTTATATATGAACTCATCATCACTTCACTAAATATTATGAAACAAAGCCGTCGGCCACGTCTATCTGTCTGTCTGTTTACGAAAACTACTGCACGGATTTTCATGCGGTGGTCACAATAGATAGAGGGATTCTTGAGGAAAGTTTAGGTATAGAATACATCCCCGGGCGCGTCCGGGACGGGTTGCTAACTATATCTTAACCTAGAACTCAAACCTGGATGGCGAGGGCTAAATCCAGCCAGTCCCATCGAATTGACCAGTCTTTTTAGGGTTCCGTAGTATACGTCAAGGAACCCTTATAGTTTCGTCATGTCCGTCCGTCCGTCTGTCCGTCTTCGCTCTACCGTCCAAACTGTTAGCGCTAGAAAGATGAAACTTTGCATGGATATGTGTATTTACTACGCCGACAAAGTGCTAAAATAAAATTATGAAAAATGTTTTTTTCTGGGGTACCTCCCCTACACGTACTTAATGTGGGGATGATTTTTTTTCTGAAATGAATGTATAATATTTTTTCACAGGTCCTGCATTTTCCATCCCAGAGAGTAGTGAAGATGAGAAGGCATCGGATGATGAAACTTATAGAAACCCAGGTCCTGAGATTTTCATTCCAGAGAGCAGTGACGATGAAATCGCTTCAGATGATGATCGTGGAAATGTAGGTGAATTTGAAGAAATTTATTTAGATGACGACGCTCTTGATAATGATTGCGACGAATATATTCCTTATGAAACGGAAGAAGAAGATATCTCAAGCAAGCCTTCTACGTCAAAACAGCGCACAGGAAATAAGAGAAAGAAGGTTAAATGTGTATGGTCTGATGAAAGTATGGCGTATGACGAGTCACATATTGCGTTTTTAGGATGCCAAGATCTCCCAAATGAAATTATGAAACTCGAAGCGCCCATGGATTTCTTTAAATTTTTATTTCCTTCTTCAGCGATTAATTTAATTGTAAGGGAGAGCAACTTATATGCTGATCAAATCACCGAAAGCAACCACAATGAAGTCACGGAAGAAGACATACGTAAATTTTTAGGCATAATAATTTATATGTCTGTGGTGCATCTTCCAACAACACGTCATTATTGGAAGGAAGGTACATACATTGAAAAGGTGGCTTCAGCAATGACTTGTAACAAGTTTGAAGAAGTAAAAAGGTTTTTACATTTTTTTAACAAAAATGATGAGTTGGAGTCCGGTGATCCAAATTTTGACCGGTTACAAAAGATACGCCCTTTCCTTAATATATTGCGTGAAAGACTGTTACAAGTGCCTAAAGAAGAATACTTGGCAATTGATGAACAAATGATTCCTACCAAAGCACGTACTTCTGGTATGAGGCGTTATAATGCCAAAAAACCACACAAATGGGGCTACCTCAATTATGTGCTAAGCGGAGCCAGTGGCTTTAGCTACGATTTTGAGGTTGATACTGGAAAACACCCTGATCCGCCAGAGAACTGCCCTGACCTCGGAATACCAGGAAACATTGTCCAGCGTTTGTTAAACACTGTTCCTCAAAATCTTAATTATAAAATTTTTGTGGACAATTGGTACACTAGTTTGCCTTTGATGGCCAACTTGCATAAAAAAGGACTCCTTCCTTTAGGAACAATTCAGCTCAATAGAGCACCCAATATAAATATAGAAAAAAAAAACTATTATGAAAGAAGAAAGAGGATATTGTGCGGAAAAATCTACCATTTATGAGGATGTCAAATTAACCGTTACTACTTGGGTAGACAATAAACCTGTTAGCCTGTGTTCTTCATACGTAGGCAAAGAACCCATGGCAATGGTGAAAAGATTTTTAAAGAAAAAAAGGGCCAAAATTGATATCCCTTGCCCAAAGGCTATTACAATTTATAATAAATATATGGGCGGCGTAGACTTATTAGATTCTATGCTAGGTTTTTATAGGATTAAAATTCGAAGCAAAAAGTGGTATCACAGATTGTTCTTCCATTTTATAGACCTAGTCTGTGTAAATAGTTGGTTATTGTGGAGACGTAGAACCAAACAAAAAGGTGAAGACATGTACATACCCTTGCTGGATTTTAAATTAATGGTGGCAGAAATTCTGATGCAAGAAGATGCCAGAGTTTTTTTTACACCAACTCGCAGAGGACGACCGCTAAATGCAAATATAGAAAATATTAAAAAAGACAAAAAACGACGCCGCATTGAATTGCCTCCTGTTGAAGTAGCCGAAGATGGCTTTAATCACTGGCCGGAGTGGAATACTGACCGACAAAGGTGTAAGATGGTCGGCTGTGGTCAAAAAACCCAAGTAATGTGTACTAAGTGCAAATGTTATTTATGCTTGAATAAGGACCGCAACTGTTTTAAAAAATTTCACATGTCGCATGATTGAATAAATAAATTAAAATTCATAAATGTTTGCTTTCACATAGGTTTTTTTGTATTATTTTTAATAAACTAATTTCTTAAATGTATGAAAATAAAAATATTAAGTAAATATATTTTTATGTAGTTTTAATTAATTGAAGTAACTTAATTTAAAAAATTGATTAAATATAAATAATTTAATTATAAAATCTATATGTATAATAATACCTATATAAAAACTTCACAATTTTTAGTAATCATATTTTTGACATTTTTCTAATAAAATAAATTTGCAATTATATTGATACGACGTCACATAAGTATTTAATTTCTTAAAATATGTTTTTATTTAGACATAAATTTGAAATTATGACCTTAAAAAAACATGCTTATCCAAAAGTAGAACACACTGCATGATGTTCCAAATATGGAACACGTACAATTATAAGCTTGAATGCCTATCGTTCCAAATTTGGAACCAAAACTTTGGATATTTTTTTTGTAATTAATAATACCTCGATTTTTTTTTAAATATTTTTATATCAACAGGTATAAGGTATAGAACTAAATATTTTTTTTTAAGTTGATTTAAAAATTCCATGCGGTAAAGGTTTAATGACTGTGGAGTGGAGTTTTTTTACTCATGCTCGTAGTCGAGTAACGGGGATTACCAGCTTGTTTTTCTTCCTAGTGTTTAGAATATACTTATATCGTGTTTGTATTAAAACAAGTTTTGTTCATTGGTCCGAAGCATTTTTTTCCAATAACTTTCATAATTATTTTCATTGCGATAATAATAAACGTGGTAATAATAATTAAACAGACCGAATTTCGGTCACAGCGGCTTGTCTTGTTGAATGGAGACTTGCCATCTGCGCGGGACAGGATTATAGTGCACGAATATATACCTACGCAAACACGGGTGCACTTTTTATTCCTTCACTCTCAACGTAGTACCTTTTTACTATTATTTATTCTGTGGAAAAGGTATCAAAATCACGCTTTGTCTGGATCTGGCAGCGCTGTCTCCTGTCCACTTTTATTTTAAATAAAAAACAAGTTAAACTATTATGATAGTGTGATACAGAATTTACTTATTTTTATTAAATTACATAACATTTTTGGTTGGTATTATTGCATTGTATTGTTTTTAATAATAATTTACTTGTTTAGTGCCTTTTATGGTTTAAAATACAATCAAAATGCAGGGAACCTTCTCTTAAAGTTGAAAATGGTACAGTAAGCTGCCGTCAACAATTTTGGAATAGAATAAACAAACCGTGATAACAATTATACACGTTCCAAAAAATATCTACAAAAAATAATGCGGCAGTTCTTATCATTATCAAGTTATCAATTTTACATAAGTGCGTCAAGGCTCCGTTTCATGTACGTCAGAATTTCAATTTACGTTATTTTTATCAGGCTTTAGATCTTGGATAAATTTACTGCATTATGATAATTTGCACACGACGTTCTTAATTTCTGAGATGTCACCGGTAGGTACATACGATAGAGGATAAAATTGTTTAAATTACCTTAAAAAATTATTTCTTGAGCAATTTCAAGAGTATGCTCGTGTATTTGCAAACGCATACGAGTACGCATACATCTCATTTTATACTATTTTACGCTTATACGATAATAGTTGTCGTTGACGATTTGAGTAAACGAAACGGATATTACATACAACGGATAGAACATAGGAAACCTAGGTTCGTTGGGTTTCTCCTTTCTAGCTGGTCCTTCCCAGAATAGAGGTTTTTACAAACCAGTAAAAAAAAATGACGTTTAATATGAATTACTTGTAATTTATCTATACATCTATACAAAATAAACAAAGTTGAAGTGTAGGCTGTATTCTGAATGACGAAGTTTTGAGTTTAAGAATATGGAAGGAATACTTTGAAAGCGTGTTTATGAGTGATGATACGTTTGAATTAAATGAAATAGAAATTCCGAAAGAAGAAGAAATAGATAGAGATATAAGTATAGTTGAAATAATGAAAGCAATGAAAAGTATGAAAGCAGGTAAGGCAGCCGGATGTGATAGAGTATCTCTCGAAATGCTAAAGGCTGGAGAAGGAGTGGTGGCAGATCTGCTGTACACCTTGTTTAATTTATGTTGGGAACTTAAGCGGGTACCGGGAGACTGGTGCAAAGCCGTGATAGTCCCAATATATAAAGGAAAAGGATCACAGCAGGACTGTAAAAACTACCGTGGTATCAGCCTTCTTAGCATTATGGGAAAACTGTATGCTAAGGTACTAATTGAAAGAGTTATGAAAGAAACTGATGGAAAAATTTGGGATGTGCAAGCAGGAGTTAGAAAGGGAATGGGATGTACGGATCAGGTCTTTTCAATGCGCATGATCGCGGAGAAGTTATTGGCCAAAAACCAAAAAGTTTTTTGTGCGTTAATGGACTTAGAGAAGGCTTATGACAGAGTGGACAGGGATGTGTTATGGCAAACACTGAACTCATTTGGGTTGAGCGCTGGGTTGATACAGGCATTGAAGTCTCTGTATAGGGACTCTAGTGCTTGTGTCAGGATCAACGGGGCCTACTCGGACTGGTTTGGCATCCATAAAGGTGTCAGACAAAGCTGTGTGGCTTCCCCGTGGCTGTTCAACCTATTTATGGACAGTTGTTGGGAAAATTTGAAAGTAGAAGAATGCGGGTTAAGAATGGGTGAGTTAACCGTCAAATGCCTTTTGTACGCCGATGATCAAGTCATACTTGCGTCGTCGGCGGCCGAGTTGCAAATGATGGTTACATTAATGAACAGGACGTTAAAAGAAAAAGGAATGAAAGTGAACGCAAGTAAGACGAAAGTTATGGTTTTTAAAAGAGAAGAAAGTAAAACGATATGTGAAATAAGAATAGAAGGGGAGTTGGTCGAGCAAGTAGATGAGTTTGTGTATTTGGGATGTGTGTTTAGCAGGGATGTTAGATATATATATATATATATTATATATATATATATATATATATATATATATATATATATATATATATATATATATATATATATATATATATATATATATATATATATATATATAGGATAAGGATATAGAACGACGGGTGAATGCAGGAAAGAGTGAATGGGGCTCTACACCCTATTGTGAAAAGTCAGAATGTATCCAAAATAAATTAGTTATTCTAAAACTAGCTCTCACTCGCGACGAAAAATCGAAATTTTAATTCAGAACAATAATTATATTGCTTGGGAAAATTTACGAAATGCTATAGGTGTATATTCTGATTTATCTAAAGCATTTGATTACGTAAATCACGTACCTAACACCATTTTAGAAATTAAAAAATTCTGTCTTCGTTTGTTGAATTCTCAACTTAAAACTTAACCGATTATTGCGTTACGTTAATTATAATACGCTATCCTGATTCGTTATGGTAACTAAGTTTAAAGAAATTAATGTTCTAACTTTTACAAGTCAGTAAAATATTATGTATGTATGTAAACATGAATATCTTACGCCAAGGAATAATGATCGACATAATCGTACTTTACGACAAAGTTACAAAATAGATAATCCGTAATTTTCATTATTAAGAAAGGCATTCAAATGTAGGGCAGCCCCCCACTAGATGAAGTGACCTGGCAAGACATACAGGAAGTTGATGGTTGCACGTGGCTCAGGACTCAGGACCGTATTTCGTGGCATTATTTTTGAGTCCTGTGGACGCAAGTTCAATAATGTGTAAAGACTTGTGAACGGACTGTAACTGTGATAACGCTGATTATGAAGTTAGTCATTCATGTGGCAATGTACACGAATGTATAAAAAAATCCTTATGATATTTGAAAGCCTTTACGAATATAGATTAAAATGTGTTTATGCTCCAAGGCTTAATATAGTTTAAATTAATATTTTGATGACTAAGGAGCCTGAAATGATGTCATTCCAGTTCAAGCTGTGTAAATTTGTAATTTAACTATTGGTGTGTATGATTATTGTTATAGATATGTATTTATATATGTCGCAGCCAACTAGCTTAATTGGCCTTTCAGTTAACAGACTAGTCTTTTTCCTAAACGGCGCCGTTCTAATAGCAGCCTGAATGACATTCGTTGCGTCTACAACATTGCACCTATTGACAGTAGGGTGAGGTGCGGCTGGGGTGGCTCTTGGGCAAACCTAAAGCCTCCTACTACTATAGCCATTTAACAATATAGCACATAGCACATAATTAGGCGCAGGCCAGCGACATTACAAGGCATGGTCACCCTATTAATTTAATTAAACGAGGCGGTCGCTGGTCTTTGAGTTCAACTCCACCGTTCAGTAAAAAAACTAGGCTGTTAACTAAAGGCCTAATTAAGCTAGTTAGCTGCG